AGAGGCTGCGATGCCTGTTTGTACTGGTCCACCCCCCCCCCCCCCCCCCCCCCCCCCCCCCCCCGGTATGCACCTCCTCCTCCTCTGTGATCCACTCCCCCGTATGACGTCTCTGGTGGGGATTAGGGGAACTGAAAGCGGGGCCTGAGGCTCTGTGTGGAGGCTGGAGAGGCTCCACACATTCCTGAGCCTCCCCGCCTCTTTCAGACCAGCACAGGGGGCCTTCACTAACCTTAACCCTAACCCTAACCCTAACCGATCCTGGCCTCAAGTCTAAAGTTATTTATCTACTTATTTAGTTGTCAGACTCATGTTGAACAGGGATTTACTCTGATAACAACTTAATGGTCAGGACACAGACCTGTGGTTACAGATGCTAATGCTAATGCTAATACTCTGATAACAACTTAATGGTTAGGACACAGACCTGTGGGTTACAGATGCTAATGCTAATGCTAATGGGTGATTTAGGGTTTTTTACCTCTTAAAAAAATCAATAAAAACCATTTAAAGCCAAAGAAAAATTCTAATCCCATCCCAAATGTGAGCTGTGATAGCTATTTATGCACTATTGAACAAAGAGGGTCACATCTCTGGTGGAAAACCTCCAAAACTGGCACAAATGGAGCCTTTTTTGTTGGGGTGCCTTCAAACTAGGGACGTCCCCATCCAGCTTTCGTATCCGATCCGATCCCGGCCTATCAGAGCATGTGTTAAAGTTTAAAGTTATTTATCTACTTACTTAGTTGTCAGACTCATGTTGAACAGGGATTTACTCTGATAACAACTTAATGGTTAGGACACAGACCTGTGGGTTACAGATGCTAATGCTAATGCTAATGCTCTGATAACAACTTAATGGTTAGGACACAAACCTGTGGGTTACAGATGCTAATGCTAATGCTAATGCTTGTGTGGGATCGGACTTTAACAAAAAATGGATCTGGAGTCTTGATCTCCACATAGAACAGAAACAGGCCCCTGAACATCAGCAGATGAGGAGTGTCTCAATACTTTTGAACATCTCTGCTAGAGTTTATCAGCATGTTCTATTTGCTATCTATTCCTGTTTAATTATTCACTAGAGGCCAGATTATGAGCCTCAGTAGACCCACCGGGTCAGATGCATCCTGGGAAATGGCGTGAGCCTAGAAAGCATCAGAGATGTGTGAACTCTGGTTTCTCCTCTGTGTTTACACCCAGAGCTCCTTCTCTCAGGCTTAGTCCTGGCTGGGAGTAATCCTCCATCTGTTGGGATCCAGCCCCAGATCTCCTCTCACTTTCCTTCTCTCTGTGTGTTTTTAGCAGAGATGTTCAGTAAGGAATTAAAACTACTTAAGTACTGTACTTAAGTACCAAAATGCAGTATCTGTACTTTATTGGAGTATATATTTTTTCCCTACTTTTACTCCACTACATATTTTTGATTATTTCAATACTTCTACTCCGATCGATTTTTCACGGGCTGAATCGTTACTCGTTAATGATATGTAAACGTAATGATAGATAGCTCTGTCAGGGTTTGGGAAGCTGGCTCCTCATTGGCCGATTTGAGCTATCAATATAGCCTATAAAAAAAAAAGCCTCCCGAAAGATAGCCTCCAAAAATTCCCCATCTAATCTGAAGAAGCATATCAAGGTAAGTTAAAAAATACAGTGACATATAAGCTAGTAAATAAGCGCTAGTTCAG